TAAAGAGACACAATTTCTCTACATTAAGAGCGGTGGTAAAAATCAAGATAAACAAATAATAAAATATGCTGTATATCCTAAGCACCACAGGCGAAACAAGTTGGAGTAAATGATGACAAAGGTCCTAGGACAAGAATAAGAAGGGATCAGCTGGCATTAGCGCCATCAGATAAACAAGAAGCTATCTAGTGGACAGAGAAACTGAATAAAAACCTGAGGCAGAAAGATCTTGGGGTCTAGGAAGAACAAACCAAAGTACAAGTGAAAAGGTGAAATTGGGTGAAATGGACAGGAAAGTAGGGTGGGTCAGACCGTTCCCTATGAGACTTGATAGGCAGTTTTGATTCTGCTCCAAGTACACCAGAAGCCATCATCTTCTTAACCATAGCATTCAAGCTGGGTGCCGATGGCTTGAACCTAGCTACTCAGGAGACTGAGACCTGAGGCTCTTGGTTCAAAGCCAGCCCAGGTAGGATATCTGTAAATTTCTAATCTCTAATTCATCACCAAAAAGCCATAAGTGGAACTGTGGTTCAAGTGATAGAGTACTAGCCTTGAGAGAAAAACAACAACAAGCTACGAGACAAGGCCCAGTCCCCTGAATTCAAGCCACAGTACCCCCCCTCTCTCTCTAGCTCTTTTGCTTTCTCTCTCTTTCTCTCTCTGGATCTCTAGCTCTTTTGCTTCTCTCTCTCTCTCTCTCTCTCTCTCTCTCTCTCTCTCTCTCTCTCTCTCTCTCTCACACACACACACACACACACACACAGCAACTACACAGATTAGCATTCTGGACACCTGATGAGTACTGACCTGGGAAAAAGGCAAGAGCAACATTACAGTCCCCTTCAGTTCCCTTGCCTTAGCTACCTGAGAGATGATAGAGACTTGGCTAGTGGGGAAATTCAGAGAAGGAAGAAGCTTACAGGGTTTTTTGTTTTTGTTTTTCCAGTCCTGGGGCTTGGACTCAGGGTCTGGATACTATCCCTGAGCTTCTTTTTGCTCCAGGCTAGAACTCTACCACTTGAGCCACAATGCCACTTCTGGCTTTTTCTGTGTATGTAGTGGTGGGGAATCAAGCCCAGGGCTCCATGCATGCTAGGCCAGCACTCTACCGCTGAGCCACATTCCCAGCCCAGCTTATGGTTTTTTTTGACACAAGTAGATACAAGCTTGTCACAAAAACTGCTGAAGTGAGGATGAAGTCCATTGGAAAATTCCTCAGTGACACTTTTTACCCTCCACAAATAAGCAATTGCTGAAGCAAACATCAATCACAACAAAAGAGGGTGGCCCTTCCTGTAGTATAAGTAAAATGCTTAGCAAGATCTATTTACTCTTTGACAGTCTGAGCTTGGGTCTATATATAATAAAAATTATAGACATTGTTTTTACAAAAGATAATGGCAGAAATTGTAGAGCAAATTTTATTGCATACCATTGAAAAGTAAGCAGATCTGCAACCTTATTCAAGCACACATTGCTCTCTACAGATGCTCAGTTACTATATTTCCTGTCATGTCTGGTTGCCTTTGGGTAATGATCCTAATGAAAGAGGCCTATGAATAACAGGAAGCAACTGATTGGTAAGCAACAAATTACCAACTTTTCATGCCATTTCATATATATATATATATATATATATACATATATATAAAACTGTTCTTTTGAATAGGTAGTCACACTTATTGCTGGACTCCTTATGCCAGAATAGGACATGGTTCTATGTCCAACAAAGAGAGGTTTGTTCTTTTCTTTTATCTTGATGTCAGTCCTGGGGCTTGATCTCAGAGCCTTAGATCTATTCTTGATGTAGCTTAAAGCTGGTGCTTTACCACTTGAACCACAGCTCCATTTCTGACTTTTTTGGTAGTTAATTGGAGATGAGAGTCTCACAGACATTCCTGCTCGGGCTGGCTTGGAATTTAAATATTTGGATCTTAGCCTCCTGAGTAGCTTGAATTAGAGGCATGGGCCACCAGCCCCAGACATTTCCTTCATTTTTTTTAAACCTGTAGTGAATAGAAGCTGCTTTCTGACTCTTCTCTTTTCAATATGGCACAATTAACTAAAGTATAATATGCACATGCAAGGAAGCTCCCTTTTAACAGCTATTATTATTGTTGTTATGATTCTCGTTTTTATTTTCACTTCTTGAGCAAGAGCTAGTTTCAAGTTGAGCTTCAGTTCCCAAGCTATTATCCACAGAATTATAACATAACCACATAGCCAGAAACCACTGGAAACTTTTCCTTCTTTCTTGTTCCCAGACACAAATAAAATAAACAAGAGAAAGTGCTGCATAGTTCAAGAAGACACTTGTATATCCTCCCTTCAGACAATGAACCTCTAGACTCCCTCCCTACCAGCATGGAAACACAGCCCCTAAAACAAGGATCTTCATAACTTTTCAAACACAAGGAAACATTGGCTCAAAGCACTGTCCACGCTTAGCACATGGAGGAAAAAGTCAGAGCTGTTTGCCTGGGAAGGGCAGAATGGGATTTGTCATTGTTTGCTATGACTAGTAGATGCAGTGAGCCACATCAGGACAAGAACTTTGTCATAGTCTCCCCCAGGATCCCACACCATCCAGTAGGAACTCTGAAGCAGTGTTTCAAAAGACAAAAGTGAAGAACTAGAGGAGTCTTTAACCTATGTTCAGCTAAGGAAGTAGAGTGATAATTACGCTTTCTAAGAACAACATCCTTAAATCTGTCAACAAATTGGAATTTCAGGAAAAGCAAATCAGAATAGAATGAGACATAGCTAGAATCTAGTCTACAATGCCACAAATAACTATGCCTACTTGTATCATAATTTACTACCTCTTTGGTCCATAGCACAGTAATTTTCTGAAGAATTGCAATATGTTAAATTATGAGAAAAAACTGACAGTTTGTTGCTCGCTTCAAAGCTTAGAATGCTCTTTTTTTTCTTCCTTCATATTATTTTTAAATAATTTCCTCATTTCATTGTAAAGCTAATATATTTACAACCAGTTTGGTTATACACACCTGTAATCCCAGCACTTAGAAGTTAGAGGTCAATCTGACCCTGTTTCAAAACAAACACAAAACCGATATATTCTCATTTAAAAAGATACAATGCAAAAGTTAAATAAAATATATTCATAATCTCCCTATTCAAAAATATTCTTTAATATACTATGTGGTTCTTTTTAATGCTTATACATTTTTCTGTACTTCTCCTCATTGCTCTTTAAGAAATAAAAGCACCAATATGCACCTATACATTCCCCAAACTCTAACTACTATTAACTAAACTCAGAAAGGTGATATTTTGGTTTCCTGAATTACTCATTCTATAAATTACTAATCAATTGAGTAATGCTCTTCCCACTTTCTGCCCACTCATGGTTGCTCACTCTAGACCCAGAAAAAGCACTTCTTATTTCCCAAAGACTTGTCCTATGTCTCCTGTCAGAAAAGATTTGATAGTCCTTTGTCATCTGTTCTAAAAAAAATCATGAAGTATGAATTATGGAATCTGGAGGAACCTGTACATAGAATGTCAAGCCTGATGTTAACAAATTTTAAAGACTCACTGCCCATTTCTCTTTTAGCCTCAGTATCCAACAGATTTGTCCAAGATATCATTTAAGGTATAGGGGCTCATCCTAGTATCAGAAAAAAATCTGAAAAGACCAAGATAGTGCCAGGTGTGGTAATACATACCTTTAATGCCAGTTAGGATACAGAATTCAGAGAATTATAGACTAAGGTCAGTCTGGTCAAACTTTTAGCACAAGACCTTCATCTCTAAAACAAACTCAAAGTGAAATGGCTTGGGACCTGCATCAAGTATTAGAGCACCTGCCTAGCAAGGGTAAGGCCCTAAATTCAAAACCCCAGTCCTCCCCTAAAAAACATGTTTTTTGGCTTTGTAGCTATGATCTCTATCCAACCACTCAGCTCTGCTCATTTCTGTGGCATCTAAACAGTGTCCACAATCAGATAATTTGGCATGTCTATATCTCCAGAATATTTTATTTTGAGAACAAATGTGGAAATAGAGATTAATGACTTGCCTTCAACACAGTGTGAAGTATGCAGTGACATTAAGCCATGTCCTTAAAATAGTTGAATTTTTAAGGTTTATGCTTTCTATCGATGCTTTACCACAATTTTACCTACAAGACTTTTTATTTGTTGTTTTTCCTTTTTTTGTTTTGTTTTTGTTTTTGTTTTTGTTTTTTTTACTTTTTAAACTCCTGAACTTTCTGCTTCAATTTAACCCTTTCTTCTGCTTATTTAATCTATTCTGTTTAAATATTCTGGGATAAAATGAATTCCTTGAAACCAAAAAACTTCTAAAGCATGATGCATAGACATTTTCAAAAATAAACTGCTCTTCCACCAAATCCTTAACTGAATATTATGGACTTTTTAAGATTCTGAAGTTAAAAGCAAACTAAGACAATGTAGCTAGTTCTTGTCTCCCAGAGACTTAAAAGTGTGCCAATCTGAAGCAGGGTATGCCTTAAGTAAGTTAATAAGCACAAAAACAACTTACCTATCTTACTAGTCAATATACATTTTTTAGTTATAGATAAAAAGATGTACAATGAGAAAGATATCATTTGAGTACTGATAGATTCGATTTTTCAATAAATTACACATCTGCTTCAAATAACCATGACACTCACAAAACTATATACTTTTTTTAATATGCCCTAATTTTATTTTTTTATTGTAAGGTTGATGTACAGAGGGGTTATACACTTTAATTTTTATATCCAAATGATTTTTTGAAAATCTGAATTAATACTTAATGAAATTTGAGACTATTTTCTTTGTGGTTGTATATTACATATTTAAATTAACTTTAGATCTACCCTCATACATGTTCAGGCTGAACAGAATTGCTCTTCCCCAAGTCCATGTGGAGGAATTTTGGGTGTTTCCTTTTGCTTCTCAGTTTCAGCTAGAACCATAAGAAGTCAACGGGATTCTTTTTTGGTATGGACAGGGCCAGCCTTTGTGCTCCCATGTTATGATTAGATTATTATTCATCTAGTCCCTTGCTATTCAACTTTGTCTTTAGTCTGTGAGCTTTCCTTTCAGCTTCCAACAAAGGATTTCATTGCTGCAAGAACTAAGGTGTGTCTAAGTTTTTACCTGACAGATGGAGTGATGCAAGTGTTTCTGGTAAGACCAATCCTTGGTTTAGGGTGGGGAGGAACCGCCCAACAGGCTACCCATAGATTCCTCTGGTACACAGCAGCAGCCGTTCCTCAGGAAGGACATTTTAGACATCACATGCAGACGCCCAGGAGAAGAGCTTCAGGTTGCCTGGATTTGTTCTCCTGGGGAAACCAAAGAAAATGACTTGGCTCTTCCCCAGAACCACAGGGGCTCTGGTCATCCTAATCGTAAGTCTTGTCTTTTTCTACTAAGCACAAACTTCCCTTGTTTCTTTCCTTGTTAGAAAAGATTAGATCTGGTTGCCGGATCCCTGTTAGAAATTTCAAAAGGAGTATAGCAGAAGTAGATATGAAACCAAGTTGAAAAGATTTCCAGGTTTCTCTTTCTATTATTTCTCTGTTCTTGTTGTTTAATTTTTTTTCATTATATATCAGTAGTTGTACAAAGTAGTTTCAGTTCAATATATCAGCTTATGAGTACAATGCGTCCTGATCAGTGTCACCCTTCGGGAATTCTCCCCTATCCCTTCTTAATGTCATAATTCTCAGAGAAAAGCAAACCAGAAAGAAATTGATTCTAAAGTAACCATTTTATATTTCTTTAGTTAACAAATTAAGTAATGTTAATCTCTGATTCTCTTCCTCACAACCCCTTCATTTTCTTCAAAGCAATGCTGTTACTCATTTTTTTAACACACAAGCTAAAACACTTAAGGAAGAGCTACTTATATTTTCCAAGATTACATGTTTCTTGTTAAGCCTATAGCTAACACCTCTGCATGCCTAGTCTTGATACCTGACATGTTTTAAGACACTCAGCCTGCTGAAGTAAGATCAAAGCAATTGTGACTCTAGAAAAGTCCAAGAGGTGCATTAAGAAAATACTTTTATGTGTATCATGTGCAAATTATAGCCAAGCTTTGAGGCAAATGTGTAGAGAAGAAGAAAGCACAAAACGTTATAAGCCATGTCTTAAAAGAGTTAATTCTTCTGTCAATTAGGATAGTTTTACAGAAATAGATCTAAAAGTAGAATCTGAAGAGCAAAACGTGATCCTGGTTGTCACAAACTACCTTAACTTAAACACATTATTAAGGAAATATATGTCACAATGTTATCTATTTTTTTATGAAGATAATCAGCCTATCAAATGACATAACTGAAGTTTCTGAACACTAAGGTAATGATAGGTTCTTTAGAATTTCCCAACCTTGCTTCAACAGTCAGTGCTTAAATATGATGTGACTCTCTTTCTGAGACTTGTGTCTATCAGGGCGGTGTAACTGTTTTGCTTATCAAGTGGATTTACTTGACCCAAGGATATTATAAAGAGAAATGTGACAGCCACATTGCTGTTCGTAACTTTCCAGAAGAGGAAGTTCTGAACTGAACTACAGGCAGCTAACCCACATGTATGCCAGTGACCAAGCTCAGGAAGTTGGGGTCATGCAGCCAAGAGTTTAAGAATCATTTGTTATACAGACTTAGAATTTGGCCTCATGACTGAAGGGGACTTTGAGTTTGAGACCATTCTCAGTTGTCACTTTTTACTTCTCATAATATTTCTGCTAGACAATGCTGGTCACAGCAATTAATGTTAATGAATTGAAGCCTGTATTAGTCAGGAGTGAGGTAGGTAAATAAGGCTCTGTGGATTTAGTGAGATTAGAGATCTGATAAGTAGAGATGGGCAGAAGAAGAGGTCTTTGGTTGTCAGACCAACACAAGCAAAGACAGATATAATTATGGTGTTTGCTTAGGGACAATGAACCCACTGGTCAAACTGGAATGAAGGTTTGCATTGGAGAATTCAAACATGAAAAGGAAAGGTGATAAGGAGGTGAAACCTAAAAGTCTGTTCTGTGTTCTGTGAAAACCAATGAAATCCTTTCAGAAATGGAGAGCCTCCCAGACCCTAGTCGTTTTGAAATGACATGGTTTGGGGGGCGGGGGGGGACCAATGTTCTCAGGAACATTAATGAGAATGCACATCTTTTCTTAAAGGAAAGGGATTGAAAGCCATACGATGTGTCTGAAGGTTTTGAAATAATTCCATCATCCAATGACCCATACAAGGGTTGCTCAGTAAAATAAGATGTCATAGAAAAGTCATAGACTTAAATCTATAACTGCAGCATTGACTTACTCAAGGCCTACTGACCACAACTCTCAAGAAAGAATAATTGTACTCCAGCCTTTACATCCTTAAATTGTCCATTGTGAGAATGAAGCATCAATACATGCAAAAAACTTTTTTTTAGAAATATGAAGTACTTTGTAACACCCTGATACTTATCATATATAATATGTCAATGATGTGATGATGTTTTATGTCCATCCTAGGGATTAAACTCAAGGTTGGGCACTGTCCTTGAATCATTGCTCTATTCCTTGGCTTTTTTTGGTTGTCAATTGGTGTCTCTCCTGCCCAGTCTGTTTTTGAACCATGGGATCTCAGCCTCCTGGATAGCTTGGATTACAAGCATAAGTGACTGGCACATGGTTTGATTCTTGGTTACTTCTCAATATCATGTCTTGCTCTTTTACAACCACCGACATCAGATTTTAATAAATCAAGAAATAAGCTATGCTTTTCTTGAGGCAGAGTATGTCAAAAAGTAATAATGAACTACTTTTAAATGAATGTAATGGTGAATGTAGGAAAATAATAGGTTTGCAGACTGGGAGCTCAGAATTTCAGCAGTTGAAGTTTCTAGATAGTTATTTGAAAAAAGGGAACAGGGAACACCTGTCAGTTACATTTTCACACCAATGAAAGAAGTATTTTTAGGAAAAGGTGTATGGCTAAATAAATCTTAAAACATTTAACCTTTTCAAAATAATCTGTCTTCAAAGAAAATCATTCTTCAATATTTTACAGTTAACAAAACCCAAAACTCATCTTGTCATGTAACAACTCCTAGAAGCCTTTGAACAGTGAGCCATGTAATTTCATACTTTTATCTTATATAAAACTGTGCTCGTTATAAAATATATAGGGATGTTTAGAACTCATATTTTTAACATAATTTTTAAGTTGGGGGTAATAGAAGGGGGAAAGGAAGTTTAAATATCTAGTTGTGAGCAGATCATGTTCTAAATATAGCAGAACTGTTTTCATTTGCCTTTTTTTTTTTTTTGGTTAGTAATTTACAGATGGTGGAAAATACTTTCTTCTTTTTTTAATCTTTTTGAAATTTTTTATTGTGAAAATACCGTACAGAGGAGTTACAATTACATGGGCAAGATAACAAGTTCATTTCTTATCAAGCATTGTTGCCTCCTCTTTGTTTCCCCTTCTCATCCCTTTCCGTACTCCCCCAATCTCCCTCCGCCTGATCCTCCCCCCCCCCCAAAGTTGTAAAGTTCATTTTTTTTTAAAGTTCGTTTTTGACATAACGACTTGTACATCTCATTGTTGCAATGGGTTCACCTGTATTCCTATTTAATTTGTTTTTTTCCTTCCCCTCCACAAATTATACCAACATCAAATACAGTGAAAGCAGGGGTTATACCGTGGGGGAGGGACAAACAAAGCAACATAGAAATCATCATATAAATATGTTAGAAACAATTGTATGAAAGAAAAAAAAATCTGAATACTTCATTTGACTTTTTATAGAACATCCCAAGGCTAAATTTTCAGGAAAGGGTTATAAGCTAAATGGTCATTTTAAGAAAAGGAACATCTTTGAGGTATCTTCTCTTACCAATGAGACAATTATTTCCAGTGCTAATAAATGCACAAAGATAAATATGCTACAGAACATCTGTAAAAACTAACATGCTAAAGTCAGGATAACCTGCCAAGGGGGCACTGCCCAGCCTTGCCTGACTTGGGCAGCAGAGAGGGAAGATGTAATTACGTCTACCAATTAGTACTCCTACTTGCTTTATACCTGAAACCGGTTCTCATCTGTAGCTAGAACACTCCGTCAGGGTTCTTGAGTTTTCTCATAAACCTCTTAGTCTCTGGTCCTTCTTTTCCAGTAAAGAGTCAATTGGATAGCTTGAGGTGAGGGCTAGCCTTTGAGAAGTTTATCACATAGCAATTACATAGCCAATTGCTTGCTCTATGACAAAGAATTGAATCTAGTAGACTCATTTTGTCCTTACAGGACTACTGTGCAGCTGGTCAGGCTGTGTGATTGCACAATTCTAATAGGTATACTCACACAAAATGCAAGTGAGCAGTGCCCCCTGCAGTTGTGCAAGGAACTGCCTATGCATTTGCACAGTGAAGGGAGGAAGCACTGTTTCTTTCCTCAAGATAGAAAATGCTCTGATGTGACAGTGATGAGCAATAAGAAGCCATTTCATATTTATCAGTGGCTCTTTTATGCCACATTCTTCTGTCATTTTTTGCTTGATGATAGAAATGACTTTTTAAATTTCATCTTTTCTGAACTTAAAACCGTTGTTTAAGGTGTCCATATAAGTATCCAGGGCTTCCTGTTCCGTCACCTCTTCCATCATTTCTTCCCATCTGTTCCTTCCCCAGACTCATTTCCATTTTCCACTTCCTTGATCACATATATACATTCCATATTCTTGCTGTATTTGCCCTTGTTCCCATTTTATTCATCTATCCCCTTCCATTATCCAACAAACAATATTCTTTCAGCTTCCTGATACTCATTTTGTTAAACTGTCTGTGAATTGTCTGAAGTGGTTTCCTGCCAAAAATGCAAAGCTGGCTTAATAAACATAAATCCAAATATGTACTACAGCACATTGATGGAATTAGGGACATGAATCCCATGATCATCCCAATCATCCCAACTGATACAGCAAAATCCCTTAATGAAATCTAACATTCTTTTTTTTAATCTAACATTGTTTTATGTTAAAAGTTCTTGAGAAACTAGGAACACAAAGGTGATATCTCAACATAATAAAGGCTATATATGAGAAACCTACAGCCAATATCATACTAAATGGTAAAAAACAAAATAAAAAACTGAAGCCATTTCCTCTAAAACCAGGAATAAGCTAAGGATGTCCATTTCCCCTACTCCCATTCACTATAGTATCAGAAAGCCTAGACAGAACAATAAAGCAAAAGAAAGTAGATAAAGATATAAAATGCACCCAAATTGAGAAGTCAAATTATTACTGCTTACAGATGACATGATTTTATATCTGCAGGACTCTAAAATAATTAATTATATGTATTAAGCAGTTACTAAGGCCAGGGCTCATCTATAATGTTTTAAACCTGCTCATTTGTTTAGCCAAAACTCTTAGCAGGGAATATATTGAGCAGAATAATTTAGTATTTGTTCTCCAGTCATGTGTGATGGGCTGTCCAATGTGGTATTACCAGGTTTGACCAGCATTTAAAGAAAACTCTTGTGGATAAACAGGGGCATATTCTTAGCATCGCTAACTAAGCACCATATTAATAGAGTATATGCTACAATTAGTTATGGAAAATTGGATTTCCTCAAATTAAATAATTTCTAAGTAATCAAAGAAATAAAAATTTTGGTCATTTAAAGACTTTGCCTTGATGAATTCAAAATTTACCCTAATGTTTGATGGCTCTTGAGAATTCAGTACAGATTGGTCCTGATTTATGTTTTGACTTATGCATTTTTCTTACCTTACACTGGTGAAAAAGGATATCCACACCACCGTTCTGTTTTTCACTTCCAGTGAAGAGCTCAGAAAATTGCATGAGGTTGCCATTCTTTATTATGAAACAGATTTGTGTTAAATTATTTCCCCAACTGTAGGCTGATGTAAATACTCTAAATTCGGTAAGCAAAGCTATGATATCAGGAGGTTAGATATATTGAGTGCATATTCAACTTAACAGTAGTTTCAGTTTTGTTTTGTTTTGTTTTTTGCATGTAAGGCAAGCACTCTATCACTGAGCCACCTTCCCAGCCCTTCTGTTCATTCTTTTTTTTAATTGTTAAAATATTGTACAGATGGGTTACAATTACATGGGCGAGATAATGAGTACATTTCTTAACAAGCATTGTTGCCTCCTCCTTTGTTTCCCCTTCCCATCCCTTCCCATACTCCCCCCACCTGTCCCAACTCGATCTTCTCCCCCACCACTAAAGTTGTAAAGTTTGTTTTTCGACATAACAACTTGTACATCTCATTGTTGCAATGGGTCCACCTGTATTCCTATTTAAACAATTTGTTTTTTCCCTTCCCCTCCACAAATTATACCAACATCAAATACAGTGAAAGCAGGGGTTATACCGTGGGGGAGGGACATACAAAGCAACAAAGAAATCATCTTATAAATGTGTTAGAAACAATCGTATGAAAGAAAAAAACATTTAAATACTCATCTTGGGGTTCATTTCACCTAATATCAACTCATCTGACCTTTTCTGCTTGTCTCAGACATATACTAGTTATTGCAAATAAGGGAAACCATGGGACCTATGTTTCTTTGGGCCTGGCTTACTTCACTTAATATAATTTTTTCCAAGTCTTTCCATTTCCTAATAAATGGGGCAATGTCATTCTTTCTGATGGAGGTATAGAATTTCATTGTGTATATACACCACATTTTCTTGATCCATTCATCTACTGAGGGTCATCTGGGTTGGTTCCATATCTTAGCTATGGTAAATAATGCTGCAATAAACATAGTTGTGCTGGTAGCTTTAATATGGACTTTTTGTGACCATTTGGGTAATGCCCAAAAGTGGGATTGCTGGGTCATAGGCGAGCTCTATGTGGAGTCTTTTGAGAAACCTCCATACAACTTTCCAAAAAGGTTGAACAAGTTTACACTCCCACCAACAATGCAGTAAGGTTCCCTTCTGTCCACATTCCCTCCAGCATCTGTTCTTGATTTTAGCCATTCTAACTGGGGTGAGGTGGTATCTCAATGTTGTTTTGATTTGCATTTCTTTTATGGCTAGGGAGGTTGAGCATGTCTTCATGTGTCTATTGGCCATCCTTCTTTCCTCTTCAGAGAAGTTTCTCTTTAAGTCTTTAGCCCACTTACTTACTGGGCAGTTGTTTCTTTGAGGATTTGTTGTTGGGGGATTTAATTTTTTGAGTGCCAGGTATATTTTAAATATGAGACCCTTGTCCATTGTATGGCTAGTGAAGATCTTCTCCCAATCCGTGGGCATTCTATTGATCTTTCTAGCTATGACCTTTGCCATGCAGAAACTCTGCAATTTCATGCAATCCTATTTGTCCAACCTTTCTTTGATTTGTTGTGTTTCTGGGTCTCTAGTAAGAAAATTTCGGTCTGTGCCAAGGAGACCTAGGGTTTCTCCCATTCCATCCTGTAAAGTTTTCAGAGTGTCTGCTTTGACTCCAAGGTCTTTGATAGTTTCAGTTTTTAATGGGATTATTAAGACATAATTCCATTGTAAGCAAAAGATCAGCTCTATAGAGAGAAATCAGAAAAAAATAAACCAGTCTTTCCAGAAGTGTGCATTATGAAATTTATTCATCCAACATATGTTGAAGGACCTCTGTGTTCTCACCTATTGGATCATTAGATCTGATCAACTATAGGAGCAAAACTACCAATACATGTTTTCATGACATTATTTTTTAAATCTCCTGACCCAGCCTATGAATTTTCTGGAGGAGAGTCAGTGAAATCTACCCTGTATCCATTCTACACTAGAGAAGAGTGGTCCTGGGGTGGGCAGCTGCACTAACTAATCCCTGGATAGTCTACTACTTTTCTTTCCAGCCTAAAGTTTAGGGAAACACTCACTGATCAAAATCCCAGCTGAACCAAATAAAATTGCACATATTATTACGATTTTTTTAAGTTTAGCTACCTATATCTTTAAATGATGTTTGTTGACTATCTAATATACTCAATAGGAAAATTGTTGGGACAACCAATTTAACTTTGATGAGCAAATAGGACATATGACTGTCAAATTGCTTTATTTCATGTGTTCCTTATAATTAAAGTCAGATTTACTTTTAATCTAATATTTCTCATTCCTACCTATTCCAATGTAGTTTGATCCTGTCAACGCTTTCAAAATGGGCATTCAAAATGTATAAGCTACATTAGGCATGGTACACGCCTTAATTTCCACACTGGGGAGATTGAGACCGGAAGACTGAGTTTGAGGCCAACCTAGAATTTAACAAGACCTTGTCCTGCTCCTCCTCAAAAAAAAAACACCCTGTTGTCAATGTATTTGATTATGGTGCCCGGCACCTTGTATATACATTTTTCTAATTTGGGGAGGGGTAAGTAAATAATAAAATGCTGAAACAACCTGGGTCTCGGGAGTTGGAGACGTGAGGAGGAAAGGGATAGTACAGGGAAAACAAAGGAGGGGACAACAATGCTCCATAGGAAATGTACTCATTACCTTGCTCATGTAACTGTAACCCCTCTGCACAGCATCTTTACAATAAAAAATACTTTAAAAATTTAAACTTGCTTGACATGATCAAAATAATTACATTAGCAACTTGACCAACATAAATATTGCATGAGTACTTATTAGCTAAAATAACAAGTGTTTTGTCAAGTGCTATTTTAATTGATATATGATTGTGATCATATTTCAATATCTAAAGAGCATTCTGATATGCAGAAATGTTTTTTGTCAAATGCCACAAATGCAATAATACAGACACATACATTTTCACAATTTCCTAAAATTAAAAGGCATTCTTGGTGGCCTGATTTTTTTTAAGACAGGAAAGAGGAAATATATAGAATGAATAACTTCTCAAGGACTTTGATTCTATAAAATGGCTGGAGGAAAAAACAGAAGCAGTTGTCTATATTAATTCCCTCATTTCTATTTGCATCCAGGAAAATAGAAATGGTGTTTCAATGTCTATTGGAAAACTCATATTCCGGAAAGCTAGTACAAACATGATTCATATTTTCTGGATGACTCCAGTTTTCCCGTAAAGTGAAGCATACCTAGCCCATCCCTCCCCTCAGGTGTGGCTAAGTTGTTCCTATGATCTGAGAAAGGAATTATTCAATTAGTGCCTTGCTCTAGTCTTTTCTTCCATAAGTAACTCATGGGATTGCCTAATAAAAACTAGTGATGTTATAAAGTCATTTTGAAACATGTTAGAATGATGGCAATTTGAACACACACTTGGAAATCAGAACTTCAGCAGCTGAAATGTTTTGAACACAAGGGCCCTGACCCCCTATGTCCAACATAATTACTCCTTTGGTACAGACTTGTATTCACCTATTCATTATGCCCTTTGAAAATAAACAATGTAATAAGCCTACATTGTTTCCAGAGCAACCCTAGCCTATAGACAGATACAAAGCTAAAATGACAGTCCTATAACTCTCTTCCCACTACCAGGGTTGTTGGGTTTTCTTTTCCCTAATTATTTTTTGCGAGCCTGATGAGAATCCAGTGGAGAAGTAATGTGTGTGCCCCTGAGTCAGGCTGCTGAGGTTGAAATCCTGGCTCTCCCAGGGCTCCTAGCTTGGCAATGTATTTGTTCTCCTGTGTATCCATTCTCTCAACCAGCCATAAAACAGGAGTTCTAACAATAGAATTTCCTTCAGAGATATGAAACAAGATAAATACAAATGAAAACTAATAGAAATCACATAACACATAATCAGCTGCTATTATTATTCTTTTATTGTTCACAATCATTTTCCTGCCAAATTCTCTCCAGATCACATGATTGACAGATTAGAACATGATTGTTCCCTCCTGAGGGAAAGAATAACAAAAAATATAAAAACACTGACTTGGACAGTTTACAATTTGCTGGGCAGGGTAGAGAAACACTTTTATGCATATGAAATGCTCAGGAAAAATAATCATGGAAAAATATCACAGGTTAAATTGCATAAAATATGCAATTTATAGAAGATGAACTGTACAAGCTCAGAAAAGGAGCTTCAGTCAAGATAGTTTCATGGGGCTTGCTGGAATGTAAATGGGTCTTACAGGAGGAGTCAGATTTAAGAAGAAAGGGGAATATATTCAGTTAGGAACAAGATGGAAAAGATGATACATAGGTCTGGATGAGCTTGGAAAAATGAAAGTCTTAGCCTTTTTTATTTCACTTGGTTTCATTTAATGAATGTATATTACTACTTCCTTGAAAAACTCACTTCTAATTTGATTCTATTTAAATATTCACAGGTATTCGTGTTGGTTCATGGAGAATTTCAAGTACAGGTAAAGTATGAAATATATTTTGTAATTAAAGAATCTTAGTTTTCAATATTAAAATTCTATTTAGGGAAAAATAAGTATTTAATGTCTAAAAGTAGTTAATAATTTAAATGTAAAATATGAAATTGAAATTCAATCCAATAATATTTAGAAAAAATTATCATTAGAAATGTATTATAATTTATTTCATATATTCTTTCTTACTTTAAAGAAATCAATGGATCAAATACTACATGCCCAGAATAGTTAGATATTGTAGAGTATATAATAAAAGAAACAAATTAATAATTAAATTCTAATATAAATCATACAGCTTTAGCTGGATGCCAGTGGTTTACTCTTTTAATCCTAGCTACTAGAGAGGCTGAGATACTAAGACAGCACAAGAAAAAAAGTTCAAAAATACTGCATCCCCAAAATAACCAGCAAAAATCTGGCCTCCAGCTTGGCTCACATGGAAAAGTGCCAGCTGAGCAAGCAAACTGAACAAGTACAAGACCCTAAGTACAAATCCCAGTACTGGCAAAATAAAAAAATCATACAGCTTTGTAATAAGTTTAGATGTTAATATTTCTTTCTTGAAAAAGTCTGAGCACCCTCATCATCAACAGTCTTGCATATCTTAAATCATAAAGAGTTTTCAACACAGGTGTCTACCATGAATATTCTATGCTAAAGTTGTCGTTCATGTGCCTAATAAGATGAAATCTCTTTTCACATAAGACAAAAGGACAACATGGAAGAGATGAGACAGCAGTGCAGCAAGCCAAAAGAAGATACAAACGTGAATGGGTGAAATTTGCAAAACCCTGCAGAGAAAGAGAAGACAACTCCAAAAGAAACCCAATTGCCAAGGTAAATCCTATCTATTGGTAGTTAATGGTGGGTTTTTAGAACAAATGGATTGCATGTCAGTTGAAAAATAAGAAAGCACCAGGCACCAGTGACTCATGCCTGTAATCCTAGCTACTCAGGAGGCTGAGATCTGAGGATCAGGGTTCAAAGCCAGCCCGGGCAGAAAAGTCTGTGAGACTCTTATCTCCAATAAACCAGCAGAAAACTGGAAGTGTGCTGTGGCTCAAGTGGTTGAGCACAGCTGAAGAGCTGAGGGACAGCACCCAGGCCCAGAGTTCAAGCCCCACAACCAACCAAAAAAAAAGAAAAGAAAAAAAGAAAGAAGGAAGGAAGGGAGGGAGGAAAGAAGGAAGGAAGGAATGAAGGAAGGAAGGAAGGAAGGAAGGAAGGAAGGAAGGAAGGAAGGAAGGAAGGAAGGAAGGAAGGGAGGGAGGGAGGGAGGGAGGGAGGGAGGGAGGGAGGAAGGAAGGAAGGAAGGAAGGAAGAAAAGGAAAGGAAAGCAATTCTAATTAGCTAAATGTGTACAGCGAAGTCCATACAACAAATAAACAAAACAGCTCCAACAAGAAATACCATAATCGCACTATAAAAGTGAGAAATAAAAAAGACAGAGGAATAATAACCTCTAGAGTTGTGAAATGGAAGAAGCATATTAGTCAATTTTGCTATGTACCTCAAAGGTATAATCCTAGCAACTTAGGATACTGAGAACAGCAAGGAAAAGCAATGACACAATGATAGAAAAACTCGATCAAGTGAAAAGGTAACTTTAGACTCCAGGCAGAGGCACCTGGGTGAGGATCACGGTGGATATTTTTGGTTGCAGATCACTTCAGATTTCCAAGCAACCCAGAGAATCACCTACCGCATTTCTGGAGTAGGAATTGATCAGCCCCCTTTTGGAATCTTTGTTGTCGATCCAAACACTGGTGACATTAACATCACAGCCATAGTTGATCGAGAAGTAACCCCAAGCTTCCTGGTGAGTCTATGTCTTCAATATCCTTTTTTCTTTGGACTCCATGATGAGGGAGGGGCCTGCACTACTGGTGAATTCAAAAAGAAAAGGGTACACAAGTCAATCCATCAATAGTAATTCTTCTACGAAGAGTTTTCAATGATGCTCAGTACTTCTGAAGTAATATATCAGGAAGGTATACAAAAGAGGGCCTAGAACCAGCATACAACTTACTAAGAGCTTCATCTGGCATGAGATACACCAGCCTGGAAGAAGGGACAACTTCCAGTGTGACAAGAATGAGAACCATTGTTCTCATTGTTCTCAAGAATGAGAACCTGGCCATTGTAAGGAGTAGCTTTCTCCTTTGCACAGAAGCTCTATGTTGTATATGTCAGCAGAGGTCTTAATTCCATGAATTTTAATATTATGCAAACTTAGTTTATGCAGTAGTAATTAACTTTTTACCTCTGATTCTAGATCACATGTCGTGCACTGAATGCCTTGGGACAAGATGTAGAGAAACCACTTATACTAACTGTCAGAATTTTAGATGTCAATGATAATCCTCCAGTGTTTTCCCAAACCATATTCATGGGGGAAATAGAAGAAAACAGTGCTTCAAGTAAGTATTTTTAGGTACCTACTACTTCTGATTCATCTGTTTTTTAATTACAAATATTCATCAGAGCCTATCATTTTTATAAGCATATTCCATTGGTTTCTTTTTTAAAAAAAAAAGCTATGAAGATAATGTAACTTATTTCCCTTTCTAAAATTTGTGAAATGTCCACATGGTATGTCTAAATTATAGTTTTATTGCTAAATTGATAGTACCTTGTTCTGTGTATATACAAGCTACATGAAGTCATTGCAAAGCTCTTGAAGACATGCCCTTAAATAGCCTAGATGAATGACTGAGGTATTTTTAAGAGTAAAAAGGACATATATATGTATATATATACATATATATGTATATATATGTACACACACATATACTCATACCCTTATAAAAATGATCATCAGAAGAATATTAAAGAAAGGTATACCAAGGATTACACCAAGGCTTAAGGAGAGCTGGAGGATTTTGATATGGAAGTCTTCAAATTCTATCTGGTTGAGAGAGACCAGAAGAGAACACAGTGATATCTATTGTATTCGAAAACATATGTAGCTAGCTGGAAGACATTTTAAAAAAATATTCAACCCTGAAACTTTGTGGAATGTTTAATGCAAACACTACATCAATCTTCACCCATTCTTTAACAAACATTTTCCTGTACTCCTAGACTCACTGGTGATGATATTAAATGCCACTGATGCAGATGAACCAAACCATTTGAACTCTAAAATTGCCTTCAAAATCGTCTCCCAGGAGCCTGGAGGCATGCCCATGTTCCTCATAAGCAGAAACACTGGAGAAGTCCGCACCCTCACCAGCTCGCTTGATCGAGAGGTAAAGCAAATCATGTGGAAACATTGGAAACTGAAAGGTTTTATTGTAAGAAACTGCAAAGAGGAATCTCCATTTTACCTGAGAACAAAAGCAGAAAGGAACAGAGGCTGCCAGGTCTCACCTGGACCCCTCTAGGGAGACCCTGCCTTTCTGTGTGTGATGGTGGTGGGTAAGCCTTTGGGTTTGCATGCTGCACAATCACTGTACCCTGCACATACTCGTGGAAGGTAAAGTGGCAGAGTCAAAGACATTGATAAACTGTGCTGTGATGATTTCCTCAGGCCACAGAGGAAAGGATGTTTCTTACAAGGAAGGAGAAATTTCTTTTTGTTGTTGTTATTGGTGTTGATGGTCATGGGGCTTGAACTCAGGGCCTGAGCACTGTCCTTGAGCTATTTTTGCCCAAGGCTAGCATTCCACTCCTTGAGACACAGCTCCATTTCCAGGTTTTTGCTGATTAATTGGAGACAAGAGTCTTCTTCTTATCCAGGCTGGCTCTGAATCATGATCTTCAGATCTCAGTCTCTTGAGTAATTAGGATTACAGGTGTGAACCACCAGCACCTGGCTCTAGAAATGTCTTTTCATTTTTTGTTTTTATTATCATTTACATTTTTGGTATCTTTAAACTCCTTTGTTCTAAGGGGTTTTTTATTTTTTTAATTATCTTTAAGAAGTATACAAAAAGGCTGCAATTCAACATGTCAGTTTATGAATACAATGCATCTTGATCAGTGCTACAGAAGAAATTTCTCTCTAATATGAAGCCTTTTGTAATGTCAGATCTTTTTTCTAGATTCCTACTTTAATTTTACCTCTTGTTTCCAAACCACCAATCAATCCCCTTTCTCTTCTCCCTACCACTTTCCATCACTGCCATCAGTCTCCACCAGCACAAGCAGCCACATCACATGCCATGTTATTTTTTCCCAATAGACTAGCAGGAAAGCGCTTTACATCAGTCTTCAATTATTTCCTGATAATCATTGCTTTGTGTGTGTGTGTGTGTGTGTGTGTGTGTGTGTGTGTGCGCACTTGCATGCACCAGTCCTTCGGCTTGAACTCAGAGACCCTGGGTGCTGTCCTTGAACTTTTATTTTTTTCTCAAGCCTGACACTCTAGCACTTGGGCCACATCTGGCTTCCAACCTTCACACTCAGATATCCAACTCCTAGGATTAAAGCTAGGATTACAGACATGGGCCACCAATGCTTGGCTCATTGCTCATTTTTTTGTTATCTAACAATGCATCTTTGCTTTCCAAAGTTTACAAAAGAGAAAGCTTGTTCTAGCCTTTGAAGACTCCCACCCCATCATCCAGAACCCCATACTTCCCCTTTGTCATGAACAACTAACATCACATGTTACCTTATTCATAGAAACAGTAGTGGATATGCTAGGGAAAATAGTAATTTTCCCTTTTTTTCTCTCCAAATTTAGCAAGTTAGCAGCTACCATCTGGTTGTGAGTGGTGCAGATAAAGATGGAGAAGGACTATCAACCCAATGTGAATGCAGTATTAAAGTGAAAGATGTCAACGATAACTTTCCAATGCTTACAGACTCTCAGGTATATCCGTTGTCCCTCCTGGTTTGGTATTTGCCTACTTGTTGGCCTCTAAGATATTTTCAGATATTTGCTTTTAACAAAAATAATTCGCTTTTTGAAAACAGAAGCCAGCAGGAAGTCAATACATGACTTGAAAAGTAATAGCTGATACCAATGAAAATCAGCCCAGTCCCTTTAGGGTAAAAACCTAGCATTGAGTCTTACGTTCTGTCTATGTCTTTTTCAGTATTCAGCAAATATCCAGGAAAATACTTTAAATTCTGAGTTACTTCGATTTAAAGTAACAGACTGGGATGAAGAATACACAGACAATTGGCTGGCTGTATATTTCTTTACCTCTGGAAATGAAGGGAACTGGTTTGAAATAGAAACTGATCCCAGAACTAATGAAGGCATCTTGAAAGTAGTGAAGGTAAGTGAGTTTCCTTCACTGCTAATATATAAACATATGTATTTATATATTTGTGTTTATATTATATCATATTTATATTAATAATATAGTCTATGTTAACTCAACCTATCATTGCTACAGAGAGATGTTGTTAATAATAACAATGCTGCATTAAATAAAACACATCAAAGTAGAAAGAATTTTTTATTAATATAGTTCATTAGCTAAACAACAACTTACCTTAACCTATTATTTTCTTTCAAACTATCACACTTTCCATAGTCAACACATACATACACAATCACACACACACACACACACACACACACACACACACACACACACACACACCCCAATATACATGATATTTCAACATAAGAAAACAAACACATTACTTGGCTTAATCAAATTCACTTTTTCAACACTGGCGTGTAGAAAGGCCCTTGACAGCAGTGGCTTTAAAATTTCCCTAGATGACTCTAATATGCAGTCAGGGTGGCTACCCCCTGCTGCCCACCATGATGAACCACCCCCCCCATAATAGTACACCCACTCCATTCCCTATCAACTGCTTTTATTTCTGCTTGGATAATTTTTCCACAGCCTCCTTCAACACTCAGTTCTGAACCCCTCAGAACTCTTCCCTAATTCCCCAAGTAGAAGTAATCTCTCACATTCACAAGTAGAATATAATCTCTTTGTCCCTTAACCTTTCATCTTCTAGTTACCTGTTCACACATCATTCTCTTCTACTGGAAAATGCAGAGCACTTGAAGCCAGTAACTGACAAGTTCAAACTCAAATCTAGATCTCTTGCTTCAGTTTTATTTTTAGTTATGAGTATACATAACAAAAGTAGCATTTCTTTTTATATCATCCTGCAAACAAAAGTTAATCTGAGATTCCTCAGGCTTCTCCATTTGGGCCACTGTAATGAGACAATCAAACATTATCATACAAAACTACTTAAATGTGGTCTAGAAAGAGTTGGGACACCCAATCATTGCTATATAGAGATATTTTTTTCTATTTTTTTATTGTGAAAATACTGTACAGAGGGGTTACAATTACATGGGCAAGATAGTGAGTACATTTCTTATCAAGCATTGTAGCCTCCTCCTTTGTTTACCCTTCCCATCCCTTCCCATCCTCCCCCCCACCCAATCCTCCCCCCTCCCAAGTTGTAAAGGTCGTTTTCGACATGACAACTTGTACTTCTCATTGTTGCAACAGGTCAGACAGTTTGCCTCTACACCTAGAAATTTTATTTATGTCACAAATGGCATTATTACACATGAAGCCAATGGGTATTTTGTGAATAACCATGGCTGCTACTTAGAGCAATTCATCATGGGACTTAATTTATTCTGTCCTTACAAGAAGTCATTGATGTAAAATTTGGTTTTAAAAGTGGAAAGTTGAGGCTAAGAGAAATTAAACTAAGAGAAATTGTACCCTGAGTCACATAGATTTTGAATACCAGAACCAAAATTTAAATCGTGTTATCAAAGCAAATTTGGATTTTTTCCACTGTACCTCACAGACTAAAGATGTTATTATGGTGTTTTGTTAGTCTAAAAAGGAAGTTCTCACTTTGTAGACATCAGTTACCCATGTGACATCTCATGAGTTAAGAATTTAAGTTTTCTCTGTCTCAACCTTACAACACTTTCAAGTCATAGTAATACTGAGACTGTCATTTTGCTCTGTAGGAATAAAGAGATACATTCATTATATCTTCCCTGTCCTATACTTATTTTGCCAGATTGCCTATTTGTGACAGTTTCTTCTTGCTACTTTAATTTTATTCTAGGCTCTCGATTATGAACAAGCCCAACGCATGCAATTTAGTATTGCGGTCCGAAACAAAGCTGAATTTCACCAGTCAATCATCTCCAAGTATCAAGTACAGTCCACTCCAGTCACAATTCAAGTCATAAATGTAAAAGAAGGAATCTCATTCCGTCCTACTTCTAAGACATTCACTGTGCAAAAAGGCATAAGTGCTAAAAAATTGATTGGTTATACCCTGGGAGCATATCAAGCCATCGATGAGGAAACTGGTAAAGCTGCCACATCTGTCAGGTAAGACTATTTTGATGGCAACTAATTATTCTGTGGGGTAATTTTGATATATAAGTTATTACAAGATAGACAGTTAAGTGTTAGTAATAGACATGCAAAGGTAATGAAGACAAAGAAGTAGACAGCATAAGAAGACACATGTGGGTAAGCTTTAGAATAAACTGTGCTATGAGCAAAATAACATCCAAAATTTAAGGTACTTTAGCCTGTTAAGAAAGATCTTTACACAATCTTCCAGCTGAGTCTTACAATGGGTTAGAAGTTCAACAAAAGACTATATTTAATCAGATAAAACAAATAAGCCCAAGGAATATACATATACAAAAAATAAAAACATAGATATATGAAATATGTAAAATTAAAATATATTAAATATAAGAGCATCGATCAAGGTAATGGCTATTTCATGGAGATCCAAGGTGTTCTATTTTATTGCACAGAGCAGAAAATTAGGTAACCAATTTTACATGCGTATTATGAAATATGTTCTGTCCATGTCCTATCAGTTTTCTGGTGTTTTGGTAAGCACATGTTTCAAGGTCTAATACTGAGTATAATTATGTTAAATATAAAAGGTCATTTTCATCAAATATATGGCATGCTATATTTGAAAGAAAACTTCTTTTCTATTATATAACAGATATATCATGGGTCGAAACGATGGTGGTTTACTTATTATTGATCCAAAAACTGCTGAAATCAAATTTGTCAAAAACATTGATCGAGATTCTACTTTCATAGTTAACAGAACTATCACCGCTGAGATTCTAGCCATAGATGGTAAGAAACTTTTCAATGACTTTTTGAGAAATTTTACTCCAGTTAGTATTTATTTATGACTCGACAACTATTTCATAATATTCCTCAATGAAGATCATTATCTCATGGGCTTGGGGGCCTCAAGTTTGAGGTAAGTTAACCTAGAACAAGACTTGGAATTCCAACTTTTCATTAGAGTTTAAGCAGCAGAGGACTCTTCATAATCCCTACAGATTACTGTAGTTTTGTGGCAGTGGTATATTTTAATCCAAAAGAATTCCTATTTGAATTCTGTGATATCAGTAAAAATTCCTACAAAGCGCCAATCAGGAAAAGTAATATTAAATGTAAGGTCTCTTTATGAGCTGCTAATAGACATCTTGTATACATATTATTGAACAATTTCCTCTTCTAGAATGTTTTAAAATAATATTCATTGAGTGCCTGTACTTCCCCCAATTTAAGATTAATTTGTGCTCCATCCTAAACACCAAAAAAGAAACAAAACACAAAAAGAACAGGAACCATTACAATTTGGGGAAAAAAATGTTTAACCCTCTAAAGCATAAACAATAGAAATGAGTCAAAACTCCAGTTCTGGGCTGGGAAGGTGGCTCAGTGGTAGAGTGATTGCCTTGCATGCATGAGTCCCTGGGTTCTATTCCTCAGCACCACATAAGCAGAAAAAGCCAGAAGTGGTGCTGTGGCTCAAGTGGTAGAGCGCTATCCTTGAGATGAAGAGCTGAGGAACAGTGCCCAGGCCCAGAGTTCAGGCCCCATGACAAACAAAAACAAAAAACAAACAAACACAAAAAAAAAACACCACTCCAGTTCTGAGAAATTAATGTTATTTTATTGTCTGCCAACATTAAATTTTTTCCTCCAATAAATATTTATGTCTTGAGTAATAAATATAAATAACTGTTTATTCCATGTACGATGGCTTTTAAATTTTAGGAATAAAAAAAATCACACAATGATTACAGATGAGATGAACATAGCTTTAAAAACTATTATTTTTGTATTCGTTTCATTTATAATCATTGAATCAGGCCACCCTTATAGGTCATGATCTCAAGGATATTAAGTTAATAGGTAATGCTACTAATTAAAGGTAACCAGCCATCTGGTCATTTCAATTTGGTTTTTACAAATTACAGAAATAGTGTGACATCTTTACTTCTAAGAAAAGCTCCTGATTCTTATGAGAAGATGCACTTAACTTGTCAATAAGAAAATAAAACTCAGAAGGCACAGTAGCACACTTACAGTATTAGCTACTGGAAATTCTAAGGCAGGAGAATCATTTGAGTCCAGGAATTTGACACCAGCTGGAGCTACATAGACCCTGTCTTTAAAAAAAAAAAAGAAAAAAGAAAAACTGTGTTTTTACTTTTTTTTTTTGGGCCCGGTCGTGGGCCTGAACTCTGGGCCTGGGCGCTGTCCCTCAGCTCTTCAGCTCAAGGCTAGCGCTCTACCACTTCAGCCACAGTGCCACTTCCGGCTTTTTTCTTTTTGCTTATGTGGTGCTGAGGAATCGAACCCAGGGCCTCGAGCATGCAAGGCAAGCGCTCTACCACTGAGCCACCTTCCCAGCCCTGTGTTTTTACTTTTTAAGCCTTACTTTTCAGTGAGAAGTGAGCTTATTACTTTGTTTTCTTACAGAAAATACAGGTAAAACTTCTACAGGCACAGTGTATGTGGAAGTACCCAGTTATAATGAAAACTGCCCATCAGTAGTCCTGGAAAAGCAAGAAATTTGCAGTTCATTACCTTCTGTGACTGTCTCAGCTAGAACCCTTGACAGGAGTAAATACAGCGGCCCCTACACATTCTCCCTGGAGGAACAGCCTGTAAAGTTGCCAGCTATATGGAGTATCACAACACTCAATGGTGAGCAAGGGTCAATTAGCTTCCATAAATGAAATGTGCCTCTTTTTCCTATCTCCAGAAGCATGAGAAAACTCATTTGAGAAGAGGTCCTCCCTAAGAATAATTGGGGGGAAAAAATCTTTGTAATAAAGATGCGATCCAGGCTATAGGAATTCCTTTTCATTCAAAAGAGAGAGAAAAGGAAAGTTATGGTATAATGTCACAGCATATAATGTTTTTATCTGATTCATTTAATGAGTTTTATGTTTTGAATAAGTTTATTTCTTCATCTGTGGTAGGAGAATAAAAGAGAGTCAGGGGTCTATTTAATCAGAGTTGTCTATATATACATACACATACTTCTTTCTTTCCTATTCCTCTTCTTCCTTTTCCTCCTTTTCCTTTTTCTTCTTTCTATGAGGTCCTGGAGCTTGAACTCAGGGCCTGGGCACACTGTCCCTGAGCTTTTCTGCTCAAGATTAGAGCTCTCACTTGAACCACAGTTGTACTTCTGGCTTGTTTTAGCAGTTCATTGGAGAGAAGAGTCTCACAGACTTTCCTACCGAGGTTGGCTTTAAACTACAATCCTCACATCTCAGCCTCTTATGTAGTTAGAACTATATGCATGAGCACTATCACCCAGCTACATGATCTTTTCTTAACAAAGTGAACTTAAATCCCTAGAGACGTAGGACTGCAGAGGATCCTAGGAAGTGCCAACTAGTCTGTCAAAGGCGAAGAGCTAATCCTTTTCTCCTGTTACCATGCTCATGTTCCATTTTCAATGCTTTCTCAGAAGTTTTACATACTCAATAAAAAAATCTCCCTTTAAATGTACTCACTTTCAAATCTTTTCTCCATCAATTTTACTTCCTATCATGGTTGTATCCCTTGGTATCCTGCAGTTGTAGGTGTCAGCCACTGCCAGAGTCACCAAAGAAAATGTGTTCTCAGTAGCTTTCTGCACTTGGGCCTTTTTAACCCCAGTTAAGGGTCTGACTACAAGTCATACGTGTAACATTAGGCTCCAAATGAATTCACCAGCTAGACTGCCAAGGAGGAGGCTGCTGAAGATCAGAGGATCAGGCCAGGGTATGGATCTAGCTTACACGAACCAAGATAGGCCTGGGTGGGCAAGGCACAATGTTAAATGTTGAATGTTGAATGCTGAGGTCATGAATGATTTAAATGACCCCGCCCTGCTGTAGAAATCTCACATGGAAAGAAACCATGTAGCAATGGTGAGTAGAGAATAATTGATGCTCAGATGTTAGATACACAACAGACTTCACCACAGTAAACCCACTGAACAGACCCACAGGTTCTAGGAGAGAACTGAAGGGAACAGGTAAGGTAAAAGCAGCCAAAGCTGAAACTCAATGTTGATCACTCGGATGCAATAACATGGAACTCAAGGAAGGCATGCACCAGAGGATCACAGGGGGCTGAGAACTGGTACAGTTCCAGGAGACTGGAAAGGTCAGAGAGACAGGACAGGGGGGCTGGTGTTTATATAATGTCCACATCCTGCTCTCTTTTGTGAGAAAAGTAGTGCAGGACTAATCTTCCTGGAGAAGACTAGTAAGTATGAATGGGTTAGAGAGAAGGAGAAGCAGAACATACACAGGTAAGACCCAACCAAACCTCAGACCACATCACCTCTGCTATTTGTGACAGTGATTTCTAAAAGCAAAATATGACCATAGATGTAGCTCAGTGGTTTGAGTGCTTGTCTAACATGTATGAGTGCTGAGTTTGGTCCTGTAGGATCACAATTTCATGCATACTCCGCATATACACACAAACCACCAAAACAAAAACTATCATATCCTATTGATGATTTGTATGCCTGTTTCTTACAGACACCTCAGCACTGCTCAGAGCCCAGCAACAGATCTCCCCTGGAGTGTACACAGTTCCTCTTGTGGTTACCGACAATCAGCACAGGCAGTGTGAGATGCCAGAAAGCTTGACTCTGACAGTATGTCAGTGTGATGAAAGAGGTGCTTGTGGAAAAGCAGACCCAAGCAGAGAACTTAGGAACCCATCAACCTGGAGACTGGGGCCTGCTGCTATTGGCTTGATCCTTCTGGGGCTCTTGCTGTTGCTGTGTGAGTACACCAGTGTGACACTCCATGACAATGGAGGTGGAAAATCTGCAGGACAGTGTGCTGCCCATGATCCACAATCATCCTTCAGGCAAAGCTAGGGAGAAATGGCATCTCAACAATAAGATCAAAGTAAAGCAAACGGGTAGACATTTCAAATTAGCACCACAAGAGAACCTAGAGGTAGAGAATGAGATGAGGAAGACTCTACCTATTGTCCATCATGTTCATAGTCAAAATGATGGTTTTGAAGTTGATGACCAAAGCTTCAGCTTCTGATCTCATTTAAAAAAAAATAGTTCCAGTTCTTATAAGTAAGTCCCTATGTTAGTTTCTACCTGAAAGGGGAAGTTGATTCTGGTTTTCATCCAGTTTACAAATTTAAATGCTCAACATGGGAAAAAATATATCATAATAAAACTATAGTAAAAGGAGTATTATAGAAGGCTACAGGAACAGGGGTACCATCTGTCTGAACCTTGGTTGAGTAGAATGTAGTATTTAAAAAGAGAATATAGTATTTTTCAAAAAACAGGAGAGTTGTTTCTAAAATGTAACAGCATTAACCAACACCAGATAACTCTTACTGCATGTTACAAATCGCATGGCCTTCAGAAGCTAAAGAGGTTGAAAGTGAAGACATTGTGGAGACTAATTTGGTAGTCTCTTTGTAATTAAGCAATGAGTGGCCAAAGTATTTCAGTAAAGGACTTAGAGAAGCTAACATAGAAAATCTTATAATTTTTTTTAAGCAATGTATTGATAGACACTGATTAGGTCATCTCCCTAGTTTGTTGTCTAATTCTATTTACAGAACTAAGAATGATTAAAGACCAGGTAAGTGAAATATTATCCACATAAAATTTTTGTCTTCTGTTCTTCTTCCTGACACAATATATAAAGCCTCCCATATGTATAAACAAATACAATATTAAGACAAAGAAGTGAGGAACTTAGCAATCTCTGTTATCACTCACCAAGTGGTGCCTATTGTAAGTTACAACACACCTACATCAGAACTACCTCACCTGCATCCTTCCATTTCACAATCCTATGAAAATTTAGTGTACTTCATTTACTAAATTTTGTTTTTTTCTACTAAATTTTGTAGCGATTCGTTATGTTTTTCATGAGGAAACATCCTTAAGGATTTAAAATATTGTGTCTTTGTAATGCTGCTGCTGATTGTTAGGCTAAGCAATTTCTAACTGACTCAAACGTTCTGATATTCTGCCTTGCTTTTCTCTAGTGGCCCCTCTTCTGCTGCTGACCTGTGATTGTGGGTCAGGTCCCATTGGGGGTGCGACAGGTGGTTTTGTACCAGTTCCTGATGGTTCTGAAGGCACAATTCATCAGTGGGGAATTGAAGGAGCCCAACCTGAAGACAAGGTGAGGATCTAGTTTGTAAACTATTTAGTGCAATTATGTAGAGAGAAACAAGATTTGTACTGAGATAGGAAAAGGAGTTTTGGAGTGCAAAAAGAATATACTCCATGATCTTCAGGGGACATTCAATGCTATCAATTATGAGGCCTCTTAGCTGTAAAAAAAAAATCCTAAAAACTGTAGTTTCTGTAAGAATCTGGCCTTCTTTTAATGGTGTGATTTGCAAAGGACTGTGTCACCTGTAGTGCAATAAAACCCAGCTCTCCTTAAAATTTACTTCTTTTTTTTAACACAATTTATAGGAAATGACAAATATCTGTGTGCCACCAATCACAACCAATGGAGCAGATTTTATAGAAAGTTCTGGTGAGTAAACATCAAATTTTTTGTTAAATGCAATGGTGGATTAAAGGACATATAGTCCAAAAGAAGAAGCATTCAAAATGATGTTTGTAATAATGTCTATATTATGTGCACACAATGGGAGCTACTGCTACTAAAATGGAGGTGAGATGACCTAAGATTTGTACATTAGTCAATTCCATGACATTAGTCAATACATTATCACTGATGCCACAATTTTTAATATCTAAGGATTTATTATGTATTTTCCCAAACTTTACTAAACTGAAGGATACATGTATGTGTATGTATGTGTGTGTGTATATATATACATACATATATATGTATATATAGACTGTAGGTTGTCCTTTGTTAACATTAGACATGTTTGGGGTCAGTCTCATGTGTGCAAATTCTCAGCCCTGTGATCTTCTTCTTTACCAGGAATAACAGGATTCTGCTCTGACTTCAATGACAAATTTTTACATTAGGTCACAATGAGGCATGGTCACTGATGTAAATTTCATAAATTCGTAAATTTCATTATTTCTTCAGTTTTACCAAGCTACCATTTTATTCATATCATCTCAATGGTACAACTACACCATAACCTAGAGGATCAAGAAGGAATAACAAATCTTTATTTAATTCTATACTAATCAATAGATTGTCTTTAATGTCTAGGTTACAAAATCTGCAAAAGATTTCTCCAGATATGTAACCACCTTTATCAACTATCATAATCATTATTTGCTTCTCCCAGTATAATGTCATAGTACAAACTATACTCAAAATAGTCTAGAAAATGTAATCTATGAAAGTGTGATATGAAATTAATAGGAAAAATAGTCATAATTCATTAAATGTTCTCTATGCTGTGGCACAAAATTAGTATCTACTAACTTGTATGAAAATAAATATTACATGGGTTTTCTCTTTGGTGCCCATCCTGAGTCAATATGACTGCCCAATTATAATTTTATTTTTAATATGAGTGCACAGACCTTAGCCTACATGCTTTGCACAGCTGTAGAGATTCTGTATTTATATGTTTATGGTTTCCTTTCTAAATATGTATTTTAGTATATTTTTAGAGCTCTTCTGAGTAGATATAGGAGGTGATTACATATATAATTTTATTTTCTCCAATATAATAGCTTTAAATACTAGTTTTCATGGGCAACAAAGATTGGGTTTTGTTGTTTGTTGTTAAATTCAGAGCCTGGGCACTGTCCTTTAGCTTTTTCGCTCAAGGTTGGCACTCCACTTTGAGCCACAGCTCCACTTCTGACTTTTTGCTCATTAATTGTAGATAAAAACACTCTTGGACTTTTCTGTCTGGGCTGGCTTCAAACAGTGATCCTCAGATCTCAGCCTCCAAAGTAGGCATTAGCTACTGGTTCCTAGTCCAAAGATTTTGTTTTGTGTTGTTTGTTTGTTTTAAATTACAGCTTACAGCATGTGATGTCAGAGAATTTTCTTCCCTGTTTTTAGACATTTGCACCAACACATATGCTGGCGGGACAGTGATGGAAGGAGGTTCTGGAATGGAACTAACCACCAAGCTGGGAGCAGCCACTGGATCTGGAGCTACTGGAGGATTTGGAGAAGCTTCTGGACTTGGCCCCTGCCCATTAGGAATGTCAGGAACCATGAGAACAAGGCGTTCCACTGGAGGAACCATGAAGGATTATGCCGATGGGTCCATAAACATGAATTTCCTAGATTCCTACTTTTCTCGGGTAATTGTGTGGCAAACTTGATGACTTTGCTTACTTATTTACATTACAGATGCTTTGAGTGGGTTATGTACTTCAGTCTTATGGTTTGTTTTTCTGCAGCTTATTAAAACATAAGGAAGCCAGGTGCTGGTGGCTCATACCTGTCATCCTAGCTATTCAGGAGTCTGAGATCTGAGGGCCGTGGCTTAAAACCAGCCCAAGCAGGAAAACCCATGAGACTCTTATCTCCAATTAACCATTGGAAAACCAAAAGTGCAGCTATAGCTCAAAGTGGCAGAAAGTGCTCAGGGGCAGTGCCCAGGGCCTGAGTTCAAGTCCGATGACAGATAAAAATGAATTAGGAAAAAAATAAGTTCCTTTTTGCCAAAACAATACAAAACACTTAAGGTAGCTATCAAAACTGAGTCACTGGTCTAAGAGAAAACTGGAAAGATAACCCATCAGTGAGAGAAGGTAGCAAGCAACCCCTCATTCTGTCAACTGGGGAAAAAAACTGAGGCCCAACCCTTCTGTTATTAGAATACGATGCAGTTCATTTTGTATTTCTTGCACCCCGAAGCACATGTGCATGTATTTTCCTGAGAGTACTATTGTACTCTGCATTCTCCATGAACTCCATGGCAAAAAAATGTAAAAGAGCTACCTGAATCAATGACCCAAAAATAAGAGGAAGGAGAGTTGAGATGGAAGATCAGTGATGAGAAGTAGCATGGGACAGAAAAGGGACAAGGGGCAGGAAGAGAAGTTTGTCGGAGGCAGGTTGTCTAATACTTGTTGGATGGCCAAAGATTAGTGGAATATAAGATATGCTTAGAGGGAATCTGTGTAGAGTTTTGGCATCAGCACTGGGAAGTGCTTAGTCTGACTCGGTGTCCGAGTAGATGAAAGCTCACACTGTATTTGAGAAGAGACTGACAAGGAGTACTTATTTCAAGGCATGGTTTAGGCTCTAATTATTGATCAAGTTTCTTCAATGGTGATAGTTTGAGTGAGGACTGCCTCAGTACCCAGGGAGAGAATTCCCCTGTCACTATGTGTAATCAAGTATACACAGAGACGACCTTCATACTTAGCTCAGGGACAGTCTCCAGCCAGTCATCATGCACATTTGGTATGGAACCCAAACTACATAAAAATCAAGAACTAAAACGTAAGTTTTGAGTAGATTCAATCTTGATGGAATATCAACCATTCTGTTTCTGAGCTCACAGACAATTTTAAGAACAAAATTGCTGATATAAAAGAGTATGTCTTTACTTCTGATGGTCTAAATTGGGCATTCATACAGTTCTATGAGCAGCGTTAGATCCTTTGATAATTTTTCTTACCAATCCCCTTTATCCACTTTCTTCCCTCTTTAGAAAGCATTTGCCTGTGCAGAGGAAGAAGATATCCAGGAAGCCAGTGACTGCTTGCTGATCTATGACAACGAAGGCCTGGATGATGCACCAGGTTCTCCTGTAGGCTCGCTGGGTTGTTGCAGTTTTATTGCTGATGACCTGGATGATAGCTTTTTGGACTCTCTTGGCCCTAAATTTAAAAAACTTGCAGAGATCAGTCTTGGTATTGATGACGAAGCCAAACAAGCTCCGCTGCCTTCTAAAGACAGTGGCTCTGGAGTTGATCGCTGTGGGAGGCCCATAGAAGTCCAGCAGTCAGGAGCAGATAGGTGCCAGACCCTGCCTGGTGGTCAAAGACCTTCTGCTTTGTCTGGAGTTGATTACCATGGGAGACCCATAGAAGTCCAGCAGTCAGAAGCAGATAGATGCCAGACTCTCCCTGGTGGCCCAAGAGCTTCTGCTTTGTCTGGAGCTGATTACTATGGGCGACCCATAGATGTCCAGCAGTCAGGAGCAGATAGGTGTCAGACTCTGCCTGGCAGTCAAAGAGCTTCTGCTCTGTCCGTTTCTGGGTCTGTTCAACCAGTCATAGCCATCCCTGACCCTTTGCTACATGGTAATTACATGGTATCAGAGACTTACTCAGTTTCTGGGTCCTATGTGCAACCCACCACTGCAGTCTTTGATCCCCTTAGCACACAAAATGTAAGAGTGACAGAAAGGGTGGTTTGCCCCATTTCCAGTGTTCCAACTGAGCTACGAGGGTCACACACTTTGCTCTATTCAGAAGAGCCTTGCTCCCACCTATGACCAGGTGAGCCAAAATAACATACTTGCCAAATCTGGATAATATTTGGACCGCATTCTTTAAAATTACACAGTAAAGCTCATTGTATTGGATTAATTTGGCATTTCACATTGCCATAAAAAGTGATCATAATTTTAAATTCAGATGGTCTAGCTCTTATTCCCAAACTGATTATGTTCTTACTCCTAATTTTCTGTGTGTGTGTGTGTGTGTGTGTGTGTGTGTGTGTGTGTGTGTGTGTGTGTGTGTGCTGGTCCTGAACTCAGGGCCTAGGCACTTGTCCTCAACTGTTTTACCCAAGGCTGATAACTCTACCACTTGACCCACAGATCTACTTCTGGTAGTAAATTGGAGATAAAAGTTTCATGGACTTTCCTGCCCAGGTTGCTTAGAACCATGAGCTTCAGATCTCAGCCTTCTGAGTAGCTAGGTTTACAGGCATGAGCCACCAGCATCTAGCTCACTTGTCTTAATATTTTTATAATTTTATATTGTCTTATGTTTAAAAAATAAGGAGCCCATTGGGTGCAGAAAGTTCCTAAACTTTTTTTCAAATCGTTGTACTTTCAGTGGGAACAAAAGGGGTTCATCACTTGAAAATGAAATGTGGTTTGGTGGATTAAGCTCTTTGTATCAAGACCCTGGTTCTTGTCACTATCACTTTTTATGTCACTAATAACAATATAAGAATATCATTATGTTTTTAAAGGAACACCATTAATAATGACTTAAGAACCACAAGATATTTGCTAATCTTTTGGAGCCACTTGGAACAAAGAAAGTGGTAGCAGTTAGGCTCTTTCCAGCTTCTTGGTATGGAAACATCAAAAGCACATCTTTTGCTCTGAGTATGGTTATGGGATCAAGCTGCTTTAAACTTAATAGTTCTATAATCTGCAAATGCTCCTATAACACTTAAGAAAGTTTAGAATGGGGCTGGGAATGTGGCTCAGTGGTAGAGTGCTCACCTAGCATGCATGAAGCCTTGGGTCGATTCCTAAGTACCACATATACACGAAAAAAAAAGGAAGTGGCACTGTGGCTCACGTGGTGGAGTGCTAGCCTGGAGCAAAAGAAGCTCAGGAATAGTGTGCAGGCCCTGAGTTTGTGGCGCAGGACTGGCAAAAAAAGAAAGTTTAGTATGATGTAAATAATATTTTGTATATTTTAATCACATTGGAAAGATCTACCTAAAGAAAATACTGTATGTGCAACAACTCCCTCCTATACATGTCTTGATAACAAATTCCTATGTTAGTTGTTTGAAGCAGGTCTTTATTTTTAATGTCATGGGTAGAAATGACTTACATGAGATGTATAGTGAGGCTTATCATTTGGACAATGTTTACAGACTATGGGAAGGCTAAATGCAACTTTTCTTATAAATAAAATTCTGAATAACACATGGAGAAATTTATGAATATGTATTGTAAGCATCATTTCAGGAAAATATCTCTGAAATAGTTTTCAAGTTACAAAGGACATGGAAGTAAGATTATGGATAAACTATTTTTAACCCTCCCTTCTAAATGAAACAGTGATATACTGTTGAATGTAGAATGTGAGGTTAGTGAAAGTCAGAATGCATTTCAGTCATGTTACCCTCACAGTAATGCAGTTCTTCAGCCTTAAGCTATTCACCCTTTAGCCCACAGCCCCATACCTCACCTGCTTCTCAATGTTTTAGTCTTTACAAGATTTTCCAACTCCCGTATTTCTAATTGTGTGTAATATACAGAATTTATCTTTTTCCTTACTGCTTTGTTTTTGCTATGATAGGAAAAAAACTAAGTATATTTTACTCAGATATTATGCAAACTAATCAAGCGTTATATTTTAACTGAGATGGGTAGATCTTAGAAATACCCAGAGGAACAAAACCCATAAATGTCCCCTTCCCAAGCACTCACCTGCCTGGAGAAGCAGAGACAGGATGGGATTCCAAGACTGGCAGCAGCTGCTATAACTGGGCTTCTACTGCAACCCATATGGAGGGGAGAGAAACTGACCTGTCCCGAAGGCTGCACCCTCCTCCCTCAGCACACCAAGAAGCTGCTCTTGTTAATGGTGCTCTCTCCTGCTTCTCAACCAAAGCTTGCTCTGAGTCTGGGTATCTAAACTGACAAATTGATTTGTGACCTTGTTGATGCAGGAGTATTGAATCAATATTCATAATAATCCATATTCAAAGAGCAAAAGTATAATTAAGATGCTCAGAGCAGTTTGACTTGGAGTCTCAAAACCCAAATTACAAAATGAGAAGAGTACAGGGATGACATGGGTCAAGATGCACTGTTCTCATAATCTGACTTGTTGAATTGAAACCCCTACGTATAACTTCTTTAAAGAAAACAATAACTAAAACAAAAGAAATGGGAGATTGGCTACATTCCTGAAATGCAGAGAAATGGTCACTATAGTAAAGTGTATACTAGAGAAAAACTTACATGGATTTAAAGTTCTTTTAACTTTATTTATAGAATGACCTAAAATTTTCATTTGTTTTGTAAAACTGTTATCTGCACTTTTTACCAACAATAAAAATTATTTTAAGCAAGAAAATAGTTTCTTAAACTGTCCTTTGACTTGGTGTATTCAACAGTTTAAACAATATATATTAAAAACATAAATATTGTGACATTGTTATAATAAAACAGTTTGGCAATAAATGAGTATCTCTTGAACCATTTTATAAAGGTTGAATACTTCATAATGAATGTGTATTAAGAAATATGACATTCAAAGTGACTTCCATATGCATTTTTAACAGTATTTTACCATTTTTTCCTTTGTTTTTCTTTTTTTGTTTTTAGCTAATATCATTTTTTCATCTTCCCAGGCAGGGTGGAGGTAAGTGAGGTTCAGGTTCTGGATTGCCTTTGGTCATTGAAATGAAAGCTATATGAAATCAGAGCAGAACAACTTTATTAACTGGATGGTTTAGATCACTGGTTGTTCCCTGGCTGCAGTGGTCTACCAGGCATGCTATCACATTGTAAGATGAAATGGAAGGAGGAGTTAGAGTGAAGAGAATGTAATGTTTCCAGATTGCCACGATTAAAAAAAAAAGCAAAAACAACAAAAAATAAACAACTCTATGATGGTACTTAGCAAAGCCATCTATTTTAATGGTGGCTTTAAAAAATGTTGTGGCTTTATGTCCTTCTAAGGGATGTGACTAAATAAATCCTTTCAGAACTTTAGAACTGACTTCTGGCTGATTTTCTTCCTCTTAAGCCTGGATGATATGCTTCTATCTGGGCGAAATAGCAGGATTCAACTGAATATTGGATAAAGCATAACAAAGAATGGTACACAGCATGCTTTGGATATACTGAACCAATTCCAAAAAAGGGCAAAGTCATGTAAGTAAATTACAAAAATGTTGCTAACTTCTTGTACTCATAGAAGGTTCAAGAAATAAATATTATGAAATTGGCTTTATCTCAATTTGAGGCTGTGAAAGATCTGGTAGGAGGGGAAAAGGGACACATTCAATCAACTTCACTAAGTCAACCATTTTAGAAACAAGTAAGTTAAAATGAAGAGTTCTTGTTCGTAGCATTTCAGCATTTTCTCATATCCTTTACTGGGTCTAAGAAGAGGAATTCTGAGTTAAGATATTGCATGGTTTAGGACTTATTCAATATTATAGACTGACATCATTTTATGGAAAGAGGACAATTGATTTTAAGGAAGAAAATCATTTAAGTTTCAGGTGCCAGAATCCACATATTTTCCATGATGAAAGACTGACACCCCTACTGCTTTCCAGGTCCAGAGTGAGCTTCCTTCCAGTGCCAAGATGTCAGCCATTCTCTGGTTGGTGATTTTACTTGCTTTTACTTTCATTGACTTGAACATCGCATGGAAGTTTAGAAAGAATATAAAGGAAATAATAAAAGTTATAAGAAAAATTAAAATCTGGATATGTATTCTAAAGGGTAAAGAAGCAGTATGATGATGTACATGTAGAGAGAGAGATGATGATGGACAGATAGATCGGTCAATAAATAGATAGATGATAGGCAGATAGGTAGGTAAATGGATAGGCAGATATACAGTGTTAGTTTTCAAGGAACAATGAGTAACTTTCATCTACATATAATACTCAAGACAAGAGTTTAAACTCCAGGACCACATATATAAGCTGACCTTAAATTATCATTACAATTCCAAAGGACATCATGAACACTGAAGCAAGCTATTTGGAAGTTGTGAAATTTTTTCCAGTAAACTTTTTTTTAAGTATTTTTTTTCTCTACGGAAAATTAAACCCAGGGCCTTGCACAAGCAAGTAGTTGTAATCACTCTACCATGGGAACTACATCTTCAACCGCTCCAGTAAAATTCACCTTTGCTCTTTAAAGGACCATCAAGGAATTTCTGATTTGAGCTTTCACATCGATTTAACCTTGTTCTGCTCTAACACTTTCCTGGGGTTATGCTCTGCTGGCATGCTTTCTTGACACTAAATTTACTCATTCAAATAAATGTTCCTAATCCCAAAGCTGAGAAGGAAATGAAGGGTATACTTTCTTCCTCTTACCGATCTTCAGTCACAAGAAGCCTTTGTTGGCCAATTTACCTTTATTATAGCTGATTGTGCAGATAGGGGTGGTAGCCCACTCTGAATGTGTGAGGTCACTCAACATTGTTTCAGTCATGGTGAGGCCTTGAGTTTGGAAGTGGAGGGTTTAGAAATCATTCAGTATATGAATATATAATTGCCTAGCTGAATGACAGACCAGCTCTTAAGACAAATGGTTACATTCATAATGAACATTATTATTTGCATTTTTTAAAAAAAGTTAACCACAAATATCTTTAAACAAGCTGGTAGAGGTCACTGTGATCATTACATTACCCAGAGCAAGTTTTTCCCTTTGGCTTCTTTGAATAGGACTTTTGTTTCACTGGTTTGCTTAATGTTTGAACATATTTCTGCCTAACAAAACCTCTACACTGAGGAGGAACTAGAGGAGTTGAAGAAAAGCTAGTCTGCAAAATCTGTAGAATTCAAACCAAGCACGCTTTAACATTTTTCTTGAAATGTTAGACAGCAAAGACAATGTTCTATTCCCG